TCAACACTAAAATACATTATTTAAATAAAGACAAAAGTCACTGCATCAAAAGAAGACAAAGTATCCTTATGAGTTAACTTAAAAATCTGCAGCTAACATTTCAGTTACTTACCAGGATGTCCAAGGTTATGTAGTTCATCTAAAATGAAGAGAAAAATAAATCAAGTTTAAACAGTATCGTTCTGATTTAGCACAAATAGTAAGAGTTAGCTAAATTAGATTTTGAGCTATTAGTCGTAAGACAAGGCGTTATCAACTCAGAACTTTTCAAATGCCTGAAAAGAGAAGCCACACAAATGCTGAACAGGAAAGAACCTGCTGTGAGCATCACCTAGGACTTCTGAGCTGTTTTCACTTTCAGCAAGCGGTAAAAAGCTCAACAGACTCATTCATGATTTGTTCACTTTTAGATATCCTGGCCAATTGTGAGACAAAAATAGTCAAGATAGATTTTTCTGTGGCCTCCACTATAAACATCTTGAAGCTCATTAAACAATTTCAAATGAACTTTTTTTTAAAAAAGATTTACTTATGCATACAGAACTGGGGTACAGGCCACAGGTGCAGTCATCTGAGAGGATTCACCAGAGACAGAGTGGGGAGCAGAACAGGCCGACTGACAAGTCCACTGCTGAGGGGAGCAGCGGGCGGGTCAGGAGAGGTCTGCCGTGCTGTGTGGGTCACCTCCGGGGCAGGGGGGGATCGAACTCGTGCTGACGTGGCTTCAGCTTCTCAGTGCTGGGCTCTAACCGCTGCGCCACCAGGGAGGGCCCTCAAATGAACTTTTTAAAAAATGAACTGTAAGTTTCAGGATCGTCTGAGATCTACAGAATTACTGTGCGGAGAACCCCACTTGCACCCACGCCTACGCCCCCTATTTTGAACACCGTTTGTTAGCCGAGAAGATCTGTCACGATCCCGAGGGCTGCTTTGGTGGCCCAGGGCCCTGTCGGGCTCCCTGTTGCATTTCTTGTGTTTCCTTGGCTCCTTCCTCTTCATTGCTTCCCTCAATTTGATGACCTTAACAGTTCAGAGCTTGAGGGTGAGGTACTTTACAGACTGTCTTCAACAGGAATTTGCCTGACATCCTCCCGTGGCTACACTGTGCACTGTGATTTCGTAGGCATGGTGTCTACAGTGTATTAACCTGCGCTTCCCAGCCACAGCACAGATCTAGCAGACATCCCTGGCATGACAGACATCTATTTTCCCCTTGATAAATTCTGAGGACAGAAATTAACCAGCAATAAATTACAAACAGCGTACTGTTCATAGTATCCAGGAACTTGTTCTTATCTGTGATATAAAATCAGCTAAAGAGTGGCACCAGCCACAGCCACTTCCTTTGCCTTTAGCACCAAAGTCTTCACTCATTTCCAGCACTGTTCTAGCCCATCTTCGGCGAGGCTGCTTCACACAGCCTGAATATGTTTACTTTTTTGTCGTGGTCCGCCTTCTCTCCTGGGAGTCCCCATACTCTACCCTCTTCCTAGGAGATACTTTAAAAATTTATATATTCATAGTCACCATTACTATTATCTTCCAGGATGGTTTCAGAGCTTTAAAAACCACTCAGTCCCCACCCCACCCCTTATCCCAGGCAAATATCTTTAAAAATGCATAACGTGCTGTGGGTAACGTCACGCAGGTACAAACGAATGTAGGGAGCTGTTCATGATCTGTGTCACCAACTACAAGCGTGTCCACTTTGGAGGCTTCTGCAGAGTGCCGAGTTGGACTGATATTTTCCATCAGATATTTAGATATTTTTGGAGTAATTCTTGTTGAATTTCTCAAAGTGTTCTGAACTTATTTAACAAAAAATTATTGCTTCTATAGTGTTTGCTATTTATTTTGAAAAAAATTAGAGGGGACACCTTGCAGGGAAAGAAGTACAGAAAGGTGACAAGTCACATGTACCACCCTGAGCCAGTTTCTTCCTAAAGGCCTTTACCTCAGGAAAGTCAAGAAAATCATGCAGTGAGAAAAAAAAAAAAAGAGAGACGGAAGAGGTGATTGGTTCGCATTTCTTCATACAGCTTCCCTCACACAGGCCTCACAGGCCCTGGGACTGGAATCCCTGATACTAGAGGATTTCTGTTTACAGCTCTGTCCTGGGATGAAGCCAGTGTCACTACAGCATTTCCAGGTGACATCATGCAGATGTGAAGAACAGGATGGCCAAGAAACACGAGATTTAACATTATTTTCTTTGCCCAAGGAGAGCCAAGTTTATATAATAAAGAGGCAGAAATTGAAAAAATACTTTGCTATCCATAAACCTGATCACACCAAGGGAAGATTTAAAGCTAATACATTACAACTGATGTAGAAATCTCAGTTAAGTGAAACAAATTAGAAGCTTCCATTGACACAGCTTTTCAGTTCTTGTTCTGTATTATAATAAAGGTAATATGGTAGATTTACCTACATTTTGTACTTTCAAAAAACTGATCTTATCAATTTTGTATCAAAGCAGAATATTTACCCTTTTATAATACATGTATCAAACAAGAAATTTGTCCTGAAACTTTGCAGAGAAGACGCCTGCAGTTGAGAGAAATCTGATGAAGGCTAAAAGTGTGATAAAGCTCTGAATGACTATGCAGGACAATAGCCACTTGGCTTCTCTACAAAATTTATGAAGACAAAAATTAAAAGGGTAATTTGTAGCTGAAAATTAGCAGTGTTTGCTATTCATAAAATATACAGGAAGTTTACCCTCACATGCGATGAAAATCAATTGAAAGTCATTTTAATAGTTTGTCAGTTTAGTAGAGTCTCTATGGAAATTTACAATCCCTCTAAGACTAAGATATAATAACCCAGGATCAAAGTTCTTTCTTATAGCGAGTATTTTTTCCATCACTGCACTCGTAGACAAGAACATTCCACCAGTCCCAAGAGGAGCCAGCATGCAGGGTCTCCAGGTGCGAACCAAAGGATTACTCTACCTTCAGTACACTCCACTGCCTCATCTGTTCTTCCTTGTTCCGGAGAAAACAAATGTGAATATACTGTAATTCATAATCTTAGGAATGGCAGCCATCAAGCAAACAAGAAATAAATACCATAGAAATATGCTGACAAATCAATATATGCAGTATTGTCTCTTAACACAATAACAACATCATGCAGTGTAAATAGACTACCCAAATTACAATCTTCATAATGGACGGGCTGATGATTACTTGTCGTTCTTTCCTTGACGTCTGCTTTTAAAATATGTTTCATTAAAAATCTTTCCCCCACTGACATCGGTGAATTGGTGGTGGGAAGCCCATGGTGGTTACAACTGAGATGGAAAAAGGCACAAAATGATGCAAAAATAAACTATCATATTATTTTAAAAAAAATTCATTTTAGATTAAAAAAAATCTTTCCCCATGGAAACAAGATTTTTACAGTGAAAGTTTCAAAATATACTTCCCCCATAAATGTCTCCAAATAAACCATCAAATTCAAAAATAAAACAAGCCCTTTTCTGATTCTTTCTGCTTTGCATGTGAACTTAGCTGACACATTTACTATGCATGTTCTCAGATGTCTATATAAATGTTATAACTTGTGACAACACAATATATCAAATAAAATGGGGTAAGAGAAAAAAGGTAGTCGAGTTTCTGTTGCTAAACGTTTGTTTCCCTCAGCCTATCCCACTGCCAGGGGTGCGGCTTACCTATGATGACCTCTACCTTCCTGCTGTCCTGGCTGTCTCGGTCATTATACACACGGCACCAGTAGGTCCCCTGATGATCCAGACCCACGTAAGGCACCTACAGCAACGTCAGAACAGACATGTTTCCTCTTCAACTTTAATTGACTGGGTGAAGGAGATTATTTTTGGGGGGGGGGGAACCCAACCCTATAGAACAACATTTCAGATGGCTTTGGACATGCTAAGATTATTTCCATTCATTAGGTTAAATAGCAGCAAGCAACTGAGAGAAAACTTCTAAGAGCGGTGGGTTTGCTGCGATTCTACTGGACATCTTGTTCTAAATCCTTAGATGTGGCAGGGCATTGCTTTCAAACACTTTTACGATGTGAGAATTACTACTGAATACGGGGATTGCAACTGAGATGGAAAAAGACATAAAATCATGTAAAAATAAACTATTATATATATTTTTTAAAAAGAATTACTACTAAATAATGGGACTTGCAACAAAAATACTGAAAACATTAAAATACCCAAAGACGATGAAGAGCAATGGCCTCCGTACTTTTCAATGGAACCATTTCACGAATTACTACCCCCCCCCGCCCCAACTGACTCCCTACCGTGTAGTTTTTTTTGGTCTCATGTGTTAATGGCGCTTCATTTTTGAACCACTGGTAGTGAGGAATGGGGCTTCCCACAGCGAAACAAAACAGGTTCAATGTGCTGCCAGGCGTCAGCTTCTGCGATCTCGGTTCAACACAGATCTGCAGCTTGCTTTCGGAGATACCATCCAGACTTTCTTAAATTAAAAAACAAAGAAATCACCAAGCCTAAATAAAGTCTCTAGGTTAAGAATAAAAGCCAGTGTTTTCACCTTTCATTTTTATTAAAGACTTACTTATTTATGCATACAAGAACTGGGGTACAGTCCAGAGATATAACTGGGATATAGGCCCGAGATGTGGGGGGTGAGAGGCTTCGCCAGAGACAGAGTGGGGAGCAGAAACAGGCAGATCCACAGAAATACACTGCTGAGGGGAGCAGTGGGTGAGTGAGGAGAGGTCTGCTGCACCATGTGGGTCAGCTCCCTGGCCGGGGATCGAACTTGTTCTGCAGTGGCTGGTGATAACCTCACAGTGATGCTCTTTAACCTCTTGCACCACCAGGAAGGCCCCTCACCCCTCATTGGTAAATAGATGGGTTCTCAAGTTTACCTTTCATTTTCTTTCAACAACCTTTAGTAACATCTCCCAAAGTGTTTCATGAAACAGTAGTGTTCCTAGAATACTCAGAAATGATTCGTGGATAGTAGGATGTTGTAGATTATGGTGGGTTCATCAGGGTTTCTTCATTGCAGGATTTCACAGAGCTTTTGTTGAGTTAAGCAGTTGTGAATGTAAGAGGGGAAAATAGTTCAAGTGGTTTCCAAATGTATTTGGCCACAGGATCTTTTTGGTGGAAGCAAAGGACCTACTAACATGTTGGATGTCAGTCCTATTCAACACAGAAAGCGCTACGTTCTGCTGTTTAACTTGACTTGCTAAAACAGGAGTGTTGTGGGCCCTCCCTGGTGGCATAACGGGTTAAAGCACTGCATTATGAAGCTCTCCGAAGCCACGGCAGCATAAGTTCGATCCCCGCCCTGGAGGTGACCCACATGGCGTGGCAGACCTCTCCTGACCTGCCCGCTGCTCCCTCAGAAGTGTACTTTGTTGATCTGCCTGTCCTGCTCCCCACTCTGCCTCTGGTGAATCCTCTTACTTACCACACCTCTGTCCTGGATAAATAAATCTTAAAAAAACCAAAAAACAAAAAAAGGAGTGTTATGATTAGCACTGAGTTAGGGTGGGTGTGTTACCACAGTGTTTCTTCCCAAGACAGGTAGCAGGAAGTGTTATTTCTGAAACACTCATTACCACTCCACGTCTGTGAGGACAGCGGCTTCTGCCAAGGTTATGCCAACTAAGGCTCCATCGTAATCGTCAGAGCCAAACCCTCCACACTTGACCAATGACCCTTGCGTGAACAGAAATACACTAGAAATATATAAATCACTCTTTCAATTAATCGCAGCTGCTTTTGGAGATTACTGAAGTATAGGAAAAGCCAACAAGAGAGAAGGGTGCTGCCATCAACCTAGAAGTTTTATTTCGCAATACATGTTTTAAAAGTAATGCAATGGTTTGGGAAAATATACACTGCACGGAAAGGACTGAAAGTCAGGAAGACTATGCTGGATTTTTTTTTCTCTCTCTCTCAAATCAGACACCACAACTTCAAATCCAGGAGAAAAGGCAAGTCTGGGAAGGTAAGCAGCAGGGGCAGGCTGAGCAGGGTTCTGTGTCACCCTGAGACATATTCACATATATTAATGCACATATTCACAGACCTTCCCAGCGGTGGCCGGTGGTCGGAGGGGTAAGTCTCAGTGCTATGGTTATGGCGGCAAAGGCCTGAGGTCCATCCCCAGTCACAGCTGACCCACGTGGCACAGCAGACCTCGCCTGCTGCTCCCCTCAGCAGTGCATTTCAGTCCATCTGCCTCTTCTGCGCCCCGCTCTGTCTCTGGTGAATCCTCTCATGCCCCACCCCTGCACCCCTGCCCTACAGCCCAGTTCTTGTATGCATAAATAAATACAAATAAATATTTAAATAAGTAAATAAATGCACATATGCACCCAGGAAGAGAGGACCAAAGCACTGCAGGCCGGGTAAAGCCTTCAAGCTGAGGACACTGTTTTGGGGGAAATACAATGTGGGCATTGGGTGCTACTTTTGAAACTTTGAAATTATTTGACAATAAGTATTTAAAATAATTTCCATCCCAACATTCAGCTTAACGGATCACTTACCCTGGAAATTTCCTGTTACTTCTGCGACATCACAAACATCCAGCTGTGACCACTGGCTGAATTCAAAGGTGAAATTATTATTAACGCGACAGACGTAAAAGCCCGCATCTTTCACATGCACTGTGTTGAAAACAAGTTCTGAGGCATTTCCGTTTGGAATCTGTGAAAGAATCAGAGGCTCTAAGTGAATGACTCATCAAAGCACACCTATTAAGAACATAGGCGCTGTGATTTCTTTGGAGCTTTTAAAAAAGTGTGTGTGTGTGTGTATTTCCAAGTTCTAAAGTATCTGTAACTTAAAAACATGCACTTTGATGCCTAAAAGTGGATGACTGGATTAAAAAGGTGTGGTACATATACACAATGGAATATTACTCAGCAACCAAAAAAAAAAAAAGAAAAAAGAAAAGAAACACATGTCTTTTGCAGCAACATGGATGGAGCTGGAAAAGATCATGCTTAGTGAGATAAGCCAGAGAGAAAAGGAAAAATACCAGATGGTTTCACTCATAGCAGGAGTATAACGGACCAGGCGAGAAAATAATGATGAACAGCTATATACCAGAGACATTTTGTGGGGGTGGAGTGGAGAATGGGATCAAAAACAGTGGGGGAAGGGAAATGCACTGGACTATGGTGATGGCACATGGGTGATTTGGTGATGGGAAACCCAGGGGATTGCAACTGAGATGGAAAAATGCACAAAATTATGTAAAAATAAACTATTATAAAATTTTAAAAACATGCATTTTGAGTAACTTAGGACCTAGCTCTTAGAAATAGACAGTCTTTTTGAAGCCCATTAAACAGAGACTTGAGCTTTCTCACACATACCTTCCAAAAATTCACTAACAACTTAAGAGCGTTGAGTCACTCCCAGCCCGACTCCATCTCGGCAGTCCTCACGAGTTACCGAAGGCATGACACGCCATGGGGAGCGGCACGCTTAGTCAGGTCTGGTGATTACTTCACTTCTGACCACACCAGCTACAAGCCCATGAGCAAGCTAGATCACCTCAAGCCTCCATTTTCTCATCTGCAAAATTCTGAGGCTAGACCCCTTAACAGACAGACTTCTTTCCAAGTCTGGGCTTCGGAAAGCACATCAGTGATGGGGGGGGGGGGGGAACGGCCGGTCCGTGAGGGTTCCCAGCTGTGTCGCAGGCTTGGGTCACCTCCTTGGCCGCTGCTGTTGCTCTGTCAGGGCACTGGACCCGGCCCGTGCCCAGGGTTCACTCTAGCCCTGCCTTATTCAGGCGCTCTGGCCGAGCACTGCACCAAGCTCACTGCTTTCCTCGGCACACCTCTTCCCCTGCCCCGGAGCAAGAGCATTTTGCTGGCTCTCTGAGAACCGGGCCAGCACTGCTGACAGCCCTGTGGTGGCCTCCACGCTTGCTCTCCCTTGGCCGCGGGCGCCCTTCCTTGCTCCTCAGTACGCTTCTCTCAGACAGAGTTCAGAGAGACACTCGTCTTCCTGCCACCAAGTCACAAACCTACCCTTGCCTGTCCCTGCTCATGACTGTTCTCGTCCCTGATGAGAATGGAAAAGTGTCTTCTTCACAAAGGCTCCTTGGGCTTAGGGGTCTGTGGGCTCCACTCAGAACCCTGGTATTGCTAGAGTAATTCAAGCTGAAGCCAGCGGGGAGTCAAGAGAAGCAGAAAGACGCCCCCTCAGTGCCTCCCTTATCTATGAAAAGCAGATACTTCTGGAAAATGAGGCTGCCATGAAAAACACTTTACTCTTAGGCAGGAGACCAAGAGTAAATCTCCCAGGCCTTGCCCACCCCCCTTGCTTATCAGATTCCTTAACCAAATTCCTAAAAACACTGAGGATGATAATGCTATTAGTTTTCTATCATTCTCTCTTCTTATGACTTAGGAATAGAAAGATGTTGAAAAAATTACCTCTTTATTCATTTTGAACCACTGGTATTGTACAAAAGGGTGTCCAGTTGCCCGGCAACATAACTTCACGAGCCATCCAGCCAAGACTGCCTTTGACTCTGGGTTTACAGTGATCTTTATTCCTTAAAATAAAAAGGTGAGATAAATAAAATCACAGAAAGGTTTATTTTTTCTTGTTTACATTTCTGAAACCAGAATAAGGAGTATTTTGGAAATAACCTGTCTATTCATCCTTGTCATAAATCTCCCCTTACATCTCCTTCCCCGTCAGATTACGAGCTGGCGAGTTCCAGGCATCATAAAACCAGGAGGAAAGAAACTCACCTACAGAAGACTTTGATCTACTGGACTTCCCCGCAACTGGGGGAGAACCTTGTTTGCCATATTTCTCCAGTTCTTAGAAATGTTTTTTCCACGTTCTAACACCCCTGAAGCCTCCCAGGCAGCAGCCACAATGGGGGGAGCTCCGGGGACACACGGTCTTCGGCACCCACGGGCCACCGAGTGGTGGGTGACCCCGCTGTGTTGAGGGGCCTTTCCCAAAGGCACTGGGATTTCGGCGTGGCTGTCTTGGGCACCTCAGACCCCACGTGTCCACCCCCTGCTGACACCCCTTCTCTGCCTGATGGGTCTTCAGCTCAGATCAGATAACCCAGTTTCAGGCCGACCCCTGGGAATCGCTTACAAGGCAGCCGTCACCCCTCGGGCCCCTGCACAGCCCCCTGCCCGCAGGTGATTTCTCTGCTGCCCTGCAGCTTCTTCCGTCTCACCGTCTTCAGTGCCGTGACCTGAGTCCGAGCCAGCCTGAACCGGAGCTACCTCCGGCTGTGAACTTGCCTCCTTTTCCCAGCCAGAAGTCAGTGCTGGAAACACACTTGCACCCACATCACGGCTCTGATGAGAGCCCTCCCCTGACCTCCCCTGGTATTCTGAAAGAACCCAACTCCGCACTGGGCGCTGGGGCCCGCAGAGCACTGGCCGCTGTGACCCCGCCCCACGTCCTCGCTGGCCAGGCCGGCTGGCCGGGCCTCCCTCCACGGGAAGCCGCGCTCCCGCTGCCTTGCCACTCACCAGTCCTCCGCCGGGTTTTCCGCCAATCCTGCCTCATTTCTGGGCCGCTTCCTCCTCAGGGTCTGGGTCTCTCAGTGAGCTGCTCCCCCCACCCCTGGTTCTGTATTACATGCACCCAGCTTTTGGCCTCCAGTAACCATCTCGAAGTCCTTCCTCTGGTCTGTCTCACCTACTGATCGACAGGTTCCTAGCAGTAAGGACTTTTTGGTCACAGTCACCAGATCCTTTGGCACCTAGACTCATGCTTGCGTGGGGGGCGCCGTGGGTTCCACTCATACTTGGGGGGGCGGATGCGCACGACAGCCATAAGGAAGCCACTGGCAGCAGCGTACCGGCTGCTCAACAAAGGTAAGGACAGAGCATGGCGCAGGGCGGGGTGTGCCAAGGCCCTTAACTGAGAAGTTCCTTGGCAAAGGGTAAATAAATGCACAGCTTCCTGGCAGGTGCCAGGCACAGAGAAAGGCTCAGGTAGCACCAGTTAGTTCATAGAATTAGATCACAAAGAAGCAATCAAGTCCCCACAGGCAGAGGGTCACCCAAACTAGCTTGGCAAGTTACTTAACTTTCAGACTCTCTCCTCATTATGAAATGGCAGGAGTGGGTTTCTGCAAACCCAGGTTTCCTCAGGCTTCTAACACCCACATGCTCTTGTTAGCCCAGTGACTCGTTTTGTTCCCCCGGACCTCGACGGAGGTGTGCCTGACCAACACAACTTGCGGATACGACTGTCTGTCTTAAGGCCGCACGCTGTGATGACCGGACGTGGGTACACGCCGTGACGTCGTCACATCCAGTCAGTGAACGCATCCACCGACTCAACAGTTGCCGTTTTCCAGGGGTCGCGACGTGGCTGCCCTGCCAACCCCGTCTTCGGCGCAGCGAGGCTCTCCCTATAGTCCTCAAGGGGCGGACACACCCGTATTTATTAATATTGCTTCACAGACGAGAAGTGTAAGGCAAAATGTGATTTGGAAACTGCCCTTGGTGAGGAGGAGAGAAAAGAAATTGCAAAGCCTCCCGAGTTTCAACCACACATTTCCTTCCTCCCACAGGGCCTGTGTGCCATAACCATGGCTGTCCTTTCATCACCCTCACGCAGAGCCCACTAGTCAGAAGGTGCTGAACAAAGGTAAGGAGACAACATGGCACAGTGTGGGGTGTGCCAAGGCCCTTAAATGAGAAGTTCTATTTTAAAGGGTAAATGCACAGCTTCCTGGCAAACAAGTCTATTTTCAGATAACATCTGCAAAGAAGTCAAAAAAGTTACTTGATTTCCTGTAAGCCGAGGAGGATCTGAGTCTATGATGGAACATGAGGATTGTGCTTTCAACACACACAGGTGTAGATCGTCAGATACGTGGCGTTAAACCATCACACTAAACGCCCTGCTGGGACAGCAGGGTGAGTGGTGACTCGACAGAGGATTCGCCCGTGGCTCCCTTCAAGTTGTCCTCTCTCGTCATGCACTCAGACACTGACGTTAGGAAACAAGCGACTACTCCAGGGACAGGTCTACTGCACACACTACAGTGCAGTCATTTTCACAAGCCCTGTACCCCAAATTTCCCTCCAACAGTTACCATCTAAAAGTAACCCTCAAGGTTATCCTGAAAAGTTCTAAGTCACCACTGAAACAGTCTTCCAAGTGTGCTAGAGTAAGAACTATTCCACTTTCCCCAGCAATCCACCCCCGTTACACAACCAAAACATGTCCAGTTCATGTGTATCCTCCTCAGAACATTCTACAACCAGCAGATGACGTGTTTTCCTCTTACAGGTCTTTTTCATTAACGTCGACCCTGGCTAAGCTTAGTCACATCCCAAGTTCTTTTACGTTGTAATGACCCTGAACCCCCTAGCAGGGAGACACACCTCTCAGACCCCATTTATCTCTCCCTTCCTGTCTCTCTACTGCTGACTTCTCCTTACTCCCATCCATACCATCTTTATCTCTTCACTTTTGACTTCTATTGTTTAAGTAATATGAAAAGCCCCTGTACGTAAAATACAGTAGTTGAGTAATTTTTAATTTGGCAAGAAGAAAAATACTAAAGTCTGTCGATCAAAGAGACACCTGAGGTATACTCCATAACTCAGTTCCACAGACAACCCAGAAATTTCCAAGTGTTATGGAAATGATACTGAGTTCAGCGCAGGGTCAGCAGACTGGGTTCTAATTCTCACTTTGTCACTAACCAACTGTGACTTTGCCAAATGAAAATTTCTGGAAATTTCGTTTCTTCCATAAAAATGCTTGCTGGTAAAATCTGAATGCTCACAGTAGAGCTGTTCCGTGCTCCACTGAACTGTGCAGGTAAAATGTGAAGTCCAGGTGTCTTAGAAACGAAAAAATACTATGGGCCAATCCTTGCTCTTACTTGAGAGACAGCAAAGTAATAAAAAATAAACTTGATATCAGAAACATAACAATGAATATGCTACAGGGATTAAAGAAAAAAAGCAAAGTGGTAGCAACTAAGAAAGGGGTGAGGCGAACGGGAGAGGATGGCCTGTCTCTGTCATGCCTCTCTCCCATGAAGGAGCCCCCCACCAACCTCACAAAGGCAGGCTTGGGAAGAACCTTAGGATTCACCTAATGAAACCCACATGCAAAACCTTCTACTTCTTGCTCAGGATACCTCGTGTCCAACTCTGGCTAGTCATGCAGGTCAGGACATTCCCTGACAAACATTTCGGAATCTATATAACTCAATTGATGGGTCAGTAAATCTCCAATCTCCATTTAGAGTGTTTTTTCACATAAAACAAAAGAAAACAAAAACATTTTGAGCTGAGCATCTAAACTCATCTATATTTTCCAAGGACACAGATGCCAATATTGGTTGTTTTGAGATCAGGGTGTTTGATCCTTCCACGAAATCACTGAGATCCCAAAATCCGTTACAGATACAAATGTTTGAAACAACTGTAGCAATTTATTAAATCTACATGCCCAAACCCCCGCACCCCCCAATCTGAGATGACCCAAGGAATAAAACAGAAGCCATCAGTGCCAGAGAGTGGGGATGGCACCACCCACACATGAAAGCTATAAGCTATTTCTCTAATGTGCAGTGCTGGCAAGACCAGATGGGGCAAGCTGGCAGAGCACGTGCGGTGGAAAAGCCCTCCTGCAGAGAGAGCAGAGGAGGACCCCTCAATTCTCGGGCTCCTCTAGAAAATATATGACATGTCAGACCCATGAGAGGTATGAGGGAATGCTCATGTGATAGTGACGAAGTTCTATACAAGAACAGTGTCTTCAAAGGAGATGCATGCTGGAGCCTTTGGGATAAAGTTTCTATGACATCTGCTGAGGTAGTCTGGCCAAAATACAGCCACACGTTTATATGTATGTATGTATGTATGTAGAGAAAAAGGATAAAGTAAGTATGAGAGATGTTTATCTTTCCCTAACATGATCCTTTGGAAGTACTGACTGACTAAAACAACCCTTCTGAGTCAGGAAATCTGCATCTTCCTGCTTTCCAAGACCTAATGTCGTTGATCAGTAGGCCTCCGGTCAAGGCCTGCTCTGCCGATCACCACATTGTGATGGTTGCCCAGTGGCTCTTCATTAGAAGAAGTAAGGGGTAGGAACAGTTAATGCAGTGAGTTAGAGACAGCTATTGTCTGTCATCAATTAGGAGATTTCTGAAGGCAATGTTGATTAGTTTTTATCTCCCAGTGCCTTGAACAGAATCCAAAGGCTGTGGCAATTGGAATCTGCTAGTGCAGGACATTTTACAGAAACCCAGGGTCCCTGTGAACTGAAGAAATGACTCTGAGAAGTGGGTATGATGTCAGGGTCTCATCATCCCCTTCAGTAATTACACTTCATTACTCTGGATGTCAAGTCTGTAGAGCCTTGCAGAGCCGCAGCTGATGCAGGGACTAAAGCTACGTGAGTTGCATGTGGACACATCGAAGCCTCACATCTCATAATTTGTTGCTGATCATGGCCTGAACTCTGGGATTTCTGGTTTTTCAAAGTGCCCTATAGATTCATCTTTGGTCCAGCAAAATTCATAGGAGGTGCATGCTAGTTAGCCAGTTTTGGCCATGTCTGTCCTTATAGCTGTTACTGTGGCCAAAGAGATGGAATGTGCTGATGTGTTTGGCTTAGTGTCAGGAGGGAAGCTGGGTTGAGTCAGCTTTGTAGAAACCACATGGATCACCACACAAAACTGGGCCTAATGGAAGGAGAAAGGAAACAGTGGAGGCAGGGGGGCAGGGGGAGATAGCCAACATGCAGGGTATAGTCAAATTGTCCAACTGTCCCCCCAAAATCGTCTACAGTTGATTCTGATATTTGCTTTTTATAAGGTTTTTAGTCTCACCTGGGGATTGTGGGTGGGGGAGAGAGGGAGGATCCATATATTTACACTTTTCAAAAATATGTAACACAAGTGGGCTGATCAAAGGAGATATTTTCTTCTAAGTTTGTCTTCACGAACTTCTAGAGAACACACCTAAGGGAAAAACGTACCTGGGCGGCTGAGAAGCTGAAGAGCTTCAGTGTACTCCATGGCGACCAGGAAGTCACTGAGTTCCGTGACTGTACACCCTTTTTCACCCATTAGCTTCAGCAAACATAAGCTTGGGCTCCCTTCAGGCTCCAAGACCTTAAGAGAACACTGCTCCAGGTCCAGGCAACTGAAAACGACACATTTAACTCAAGTCAACAATTTTCTCCCATATGCTATATGCCACATTTGGTACCATCACAGGTGCAAGAAGGAATAAACCAAACTATTAAATGCTGAAAAATTATTTACATTATGAATGCTATTTATTTTTGCCATATGGATGATGCCTCTTTATTCTCATCTTCAACTCAGCTCTCCTGATTACTGAATCAGGAAACTGCTCTGAAGAATCTTTACGGTTGAAGTGGCATGTGAAGGAAATCTGGCCTCAATTAAACAAAAATGTTACCTTTAATTTAGGAAGAAGGAATTTCTTTACTCTTTCATGTACTTTAGAGTGTAAGATACTTGTACTTTAGAGGTGTGCATCTTTGAGACTCATTGAACAGTGAAGAAAAATGAACATACAAACTAGTGTTCACTGTAGACAAAGTAGTTTGCCTCTGTCAATTCATGTGAGAAACAGGAAGCTATAAAAGTTTATGCTCTGTATGATACTTTTTACATACACTACATGTGTGTTCTTATACATACAAAATAATTTTGAAGATCGTCAACTGGGTGCTTAGAGAGGGAACCAGTTATTTCCCTCTCTACCATTAACTCTTTTATGCTGCTGAATTTTTCACTATGTGCATACATTGATAAAAAGTATATTCAATAAGACAATCAGTGCTACTGATATTCAAAATACTTTTAAGCATCTAGAAATACCTTAAGAAAGGGGACAGGCAATCTAGGGTGTGTGGGCCCAATCTGTTCAATCACCAAATTTTTAATAAAGTTTTATTGGAACATGGTGTTCGTTCATTCACACACCTACAGATGTGCGTGGCCGCTCTTCCATTACGACAGCAGAGTTGAGTAGTTGGTCTGCAAGGATGAAAGTATTTACTCTCTGAGCCTTTACGGCAAAAAATTGCTGACCCCTGCTCTGAAGGGCCTTTACATTCTGTCTTTTTAAATATTTGACACACATATGCAATTTCCTTTTCGACGTTTTTGTGTTTAGTAGTGATAAACAAGGTTAGAAGGACTTTAAGATCTGACTGTAGAAGGCCCTAAATAATGGGTCAAGAAGTGCGAACTGCAACTGTACCTAACATGCCTCTGTAGATTCCTCTTTCAGGCCAACTTGACTTATAGTTCAATATAAATTCCAGCTCTTCTGTGAGGTCCTCCCAGGCCAACCCGTGCACTTTAGAGAGTCTCAGAACAGAGCTTATCGCATGTGTGAGGTGGGGAAAAGGTTTCTGTAAAGCTCCTACTGCTTCTATCACATACTTCTCATTATTTGTCATATTAAACATTTTTTAAAAGGCTTTATTTTATTTATTTATGCACACAAGAACTGCGGTGTAGGCCAGAGGTGCAGGGGGTGAGAGGACTCACCAGAGACAGAGTGGGGAGCAGAACAGGTGGATCTACTGAAACATGCTGCTGAGGGGAGCAGCGGGCAAGACAGTGGAGGTCTGCTGTGCCATGTGGGTCAGCCCCCAGGTTGGGGATCGAACCCATGACTCAGGCCACAGTGGCTGGTGATAGCTTTATGTCGCTGAGACTTTAACTCCTGCACCACCAGCGAGGCCTACCAAGCAATATGTTTTACCTACATTATCTAATTTAGTTCTAACAATCCTATGAAATAGATAATAAATATTACTCTTTAAATTAGTTATGGATGCATTTTTGATTCTCATGATAATCAACTTTATCACAGAATTACAAATCTTGGGTGACCAACATATAAATTCTATGGCAGCTTTTAAATAAAACTGATCAAATGAACAGATCAGGAATATTTCAAGTCACTTGCCAGCCTGACCTTGCCACAGCTGTGTTATTCTGGCATTTGCCCCTCGTACCTATGGGATTCCTATGATTGGAAGTCACCTAGTAATACTGGGCTGTGAACAGCTAGTTTGGGTAAGAAAGAATTTTAGGTAGGGAGGGATTTAAACATTGTGCATGGAGGGGAAGGGCTTCTGTTTTCAGGGCGTTTACTAGAATCTAGTTGGGTGGAGAAGACATGTTAATGAAAGAAAGGCTCTCAGTTCCAGGGAAAAATGGTGTCTGGTAAAATGTGCAGAACTTCTGTAGAGGAGGACCTATGAGTCAAATTCAGGTGACTGTCTGTTTTGTGAGCTAAGAAGGTGTTGTATTTAAAAAATAGCAAAGGGGGCCTCCCTGGTGGTACAAGGATTTAAGTCTCAGCTCAACGAAGCTATCTGCAGCCACTGCAGCACCAGTTTGCTGCCTGGCCAGGGAGTGACCCACATGATGCGGCAGACCTCTCCTGACCCACCTGCTGCTCCCCTCAGCGGTGTACTTCAGTAGATTGGCCTGTTCTGCTCCTCATTCTGTCTCTGGTGAATCCTCTGACTCCCTAACCCCACCTCTGGCTTGTACCCCAGTTCCTGGGTACATAAATAAATAAAAAAAATAGTAAAATGAAACCAAAAAAATGGGGATATTAAAAGATTATTAAGGTTAATTTCTTAATTATGCTTATTTCTAAAGCTGTGTTAGCCTTTTCCTTAAATGGCTTTTTGAATAGCTTCTATTTTGGTAACGTGATAATGTCTCCTGTCAATACATTAACTAGGTATTTTTTTTTCCTGTGTCCCAGTTAAAGTGTGTATTTAAACCCGGTTCCTGTTAAATGTTAACCACCCTGTGTTGGGTCAGTCATTCCCAAGTTCTGGACTGTACATTAGGGGCAACACATTCTGAAGTTTAAGGCTAGCTGGTCAAAAATCAGGACAGGATTTTTGAAAGTGTTACTGTCCTTTCTCTTTGTGTCGTCGTGGTGACCACCTGCAGCTGCAATATCAGAAAGCCGAGGAGCTTGCTGGTCCCAGTTTTGTAGGATTTGTTTGTAGCATTCCCTGTTCAGTGCCCAGGAAGGAAACAGGAAGGCAACAATCCCAGAATAGCCAATTTTTAAAATAATTAGAAAGTGGAATTTAGAGTAAGAAGTGTGCTCACATGGGAACTATGACTCAGAAAGGTTATCGGGATCTGATACAGGAAATTAAGAAGTAGTCTCCTGAAACACTGGTGCATAATTAATGTTTATACTGATATGAAGAAAAGGAAAAACAATTCACCCCCCAACAAAGATCAAATTGAAGCAGACAGTGCTTTCTCTTCCCATGCATAAAAAACAGGAGAAAACAGAAGTAAACATCCTTTAATTGATTTTCTGCCTGGGTACTGGCTTTCAGTTAAGATGATGTGCAGATATGCTCGATTTTATTTTCTTCCTTTTTTAGTTACTTTTCTGTAAGACTGTGCTTTGAAGTGGTTTCTACTAGTCTTAATTTGGAATTTCTGATTTAATCGAGATTACTTTATTACTGAAACAAAAGAAGTGTTTTTTTTTTTTAAAGTGTATCTACAGTTATCTTTACTTTCCAAAATATCCAATCACAGAGAACACTATACTCCCTGGAGTAAATATACTGAGGCCTGGCTTTAAGTTCTTTTGCTCCTCATCTTGGAATCTTTATTCATTAATTCAACAGCTATTTATTTACGAAAGATTTACTTATTTATGCATAGAAGAACTGGGGTATAGGCCAGAGGTGCAGGGGCAGTGAGAGGATTCACCAGAGACAGAGTGGAGAGCAGAAAAGGCAGATCGATGACGACGTCCACTGCTGAGGGGAGCAGCGGGGGGAGAAAGGAGAGGTCTGCTGCACCCTGTGAGTCAGCTCCCTGGCCAGGGATCGAACTTGGACTGCAATAGTGCTTTAACCGGCTGCGCCACCAGGGAGGGTCCTCAACAACTATTTATTAATCACCTACAATGGACTCACGCTTGAGAGGTAGAGGAACAAGTCATGTGGTTCATCTGTGGAGATAATCTCAGGTCACAGTAGGTACAAAGACCCTACAGTGTTCAAGGAAAGAAGCTACCTGGGCAAGAGGGGAGATAACGGGGGATCAGGTCAAATGTTCACCAGTAGGAAAATGGTGTTTTACTCCCAGATGGGAAAGTCAACTGGAGGGCTGTGAGCAGAGGAGGGAGAGAGGGTGACACAGTGATTTGAAAAGCTTCTTACTGCTACACTGCGAACAGACAGGGCGTTGGGGCAGAAGTTAGCTGGCTACTGGAATGTTTCAGGGGAGAGACAATGGTGTCCTGGCCCAGCATGGCACAGGGGACGCTGGACTGTAGATGCAGCTGGAGGTACAGCAGACAGGATTTCCTGAGAAACGGGTACGGTGTGCAAAAGCAGAGTCAGGAACGCCTCTGAGACAGGGCTGATCAACTGGAAAGATGCAAGTGTTACATGCTGAGAGGCCGAAAGTGCCAGACAAAGAGGGGTATGGAGGAAGCCAGGTCAAGTTTGCTGCATTTGCCACACCCATTAGTCACTCAGGAGGAGACGGCAAATAGGCATCAGCACATAGAACCTGGGAATTCCAGACAAAGATCTGGGCTGAAGATACGAACTGAGACGAAGCAACTGAAATACCTGTTGCGCTATGGGGCTAAGGGATATTACCATGCACAAAGGATGGGGCGAAGAAGTGTCGATGAAGCGATGCAAATAACCCCTAAAGCATTCCAGAATCCAGAGACTGAAGAGAGGAAGCGGAAAACTGCTGCTTCAGCCTTTTGCACATGTTCTCACTCAAACTGCCTGTGAGCAGAATCCCTGCAGATGAAGGAGCACCTTGATTCAGCAAGAAGGCAGGGACCGCTTTCCCTGTCCGCATTCCACAGCCCCATTCTGAGCTCCACCTGCCACAGAACTGAGGTAGCCACCAGCACCTCCAGAAAGCTCAGCTGTGTTGGGGGCTCTGATGTTCCATGCCACCACAGAATCGATGCAGCCCTGACACGATATGCGATCCCGTCCCTACCGATACCAACAGCCACTGCTCAGGCTGCAATGGAGCCGCGGCTGAGTTTATGGCCGGGGCATTCCCACATGTCCACGGTTGTGGGGAACAGCTGTGTGCAAGGACTCATGCTGAATCATCAACCA